GACTTCCAATGGCTCTTCTAGAACACACACCACTTGTCACCTTGCTCAGTGGCCCTGGATGGCTGGTGAGCTGAAAATTAAGTTCAGCTCATTACACTCAGCTCCAAACTCCCTTTCCACTGCTTCCCTCCACTCACCTGCACTCCGGCCCAATGCACGCAACTCGCTCCATCCCAGGCTCCTGCATGTACCATCTCCTTCGCCTGGAAGGCTCACCTCCATAGTTCCACATTCTACCTAAATGCCACCTTTTCCATGATATTTATTCTCTCTTCTCAATTCAAAGTCAGAGTTGCCTCTAAACACCGCTGGTGACACTATACCTTTCCAGTGGCATTTATAATTTCCTGTTTTGTTAGTGTTTTAACAACACCTCACTTTACACACCACTTTTTGATTGCAAAAGTACCTGCTCCTTCATGCTATTTTAATCTTCATTCATAATCCGATTTTAACTGCATCTATGTAACAGCCGTGTGAGGTGGAGTAATATTATTACCTCCTTTGAACATATGAGAACCGTGGCCTAAAGGGGGACTAGTTCACCACCCAAGATCCCAACTGGCACCAAGGCAGAGCTGGATTTGAAGGCAGGACTCCTCCAATTCCATGTCCAGTTCATTGCACCACACCTGCCATATTTATATATATGTGTTGTCGCTGCTTGTACAGATAACTGATGCCTCTGTGAGACTGTGGGCCCCACAGCTTCCAGTTCTAATCCCATCCTGGGGGGCACTCAATAAATATATAACGTTTTGCTAAAGTACAACAGTCACTTACTGCATACCCACTGGATGCCCAGGGCTTTGTATACATTAATTCTAACCTTCCCAACAACTCTATTTAGATGAGGAAACTGAGGCTGAGGAGTTGAAGTGATATACTCAGGTTCCACGGCCAGTAATCAGTGGAGCTGGCCTGTGAGACCCAGAAGTAAGTGCTTCCTTCCACAATCTCTGTCCTGCGCATCCTAAAGGCAGACCCGGCCAGCTAGAGAGATCATACCCCAAGGCCGGGAGGCAGGGGGCCCAGGGTGGGCAACTTGACAGTGATCAGGGAAAGCTGCGGTGGGGTGGGGGAGTGCTGTCCACTGGCCACTCCCATGGTGTGCACACTTCCTGCCTTGCGGGGGTGTTTGCAGAGTGTGATAGTAGCAGGTGAGAGGAGGGCTGAGGGATACGGAGGGGGGTAAAGAGTGAGGTGTTGTTGACAAGTCTTCTCACCGCCCCCACACACGAGTGAGTCCAGATGGGGACATGTCGGCTCTTTCTCCCCCGGGCAAGGGCCCTGTATGACTGGAGACATGCTCATTGCTATTATCTGCTATTTCCTTAACATCGATCTGCTATTCCTATGGCTGTGTGTGTTGTCGCTCACTGTGTGCCATTCATTTACCCGCTGCTTGTGCACGCGGTAGTATTTGCAGCTATGTCTTTGTGCTGTGTTTCCGTGCACCGTGTGCAATGTGTTGTTGGTGTACTTTGTTACTGTGCCTGTTTGTCTGTCTTACATGTAAATTCTGTTGCGTGTCTATGCTGTGTGCACTGTGCGTCTCTCCTTGTTTGTATGTCTCCATTCTGTAGTGGTCTGTTGTGTGCTGCGACCTTGTGTGGGTGCAGTGCGCGCTGAGTACGTTCCTGTGTTAAGCTCTGTGTGTCGCTGTGCTGACCGCGCTGCCAGCGCAGGGCGCTGTGAGTTTGTTGTGTGAATCCCTGGGGTGGCTCCGAGTCCCGCCTGCCCCGCGAGGCTGCACCTCCCCGCGGTGTCGGTGCAGCTGCAGCCCGCGCGCAGCGCGCAGGGCGCTTTCCTGGACAAGTGTGTGCCTGCTCCGCGCCGCTGCTGTGCGTGCCCGC